CGCCCCCCAAGGTCGGCGGATATACTATAGTAGGTTCCATTTTCTTTTCCATTATCCCAATATTACCCCAACATAGCCCTAGTATATAATACCCTATAATCCCTATATAACCTCTCTAGAATCCCTGTAGTTTCCATTTTCTTTTCCATTATCCCAATACTACCCCAATGAGCCTCCAAGTGTGGCTGAGGATTGTGAACGCAGATCCCAGCAGTGAAGAGGTTCCTTCGAGAGTTATACTCCAAGGGATTAGGGTTTAGAGTTTAGGGTTTAGGGTTTAAGGTTTAGGGTTAAGGGTTTAGGGTTTAGGGCGGACCAAAATTGGGTTAGGGGGACCTATAGGCGCCTACGGCTCATATAAAGGGACATTCCAGCTATAGTCTACTCTCCTTAAAGGTGGTTATGTAAGGGATTCTGTAGGGGAGTATTATTGGGGCTTAGTAAGGGGGATATTAGGAATTAAGACTATAGCTCATTTACTGTCAATATTAGCCTTGTGAAGGGACCTTTAATAACAGTGGACACAGGCCTCCCTGTTACAGTTTAGTATATTTCCTAATATAGTCCCTGATAAAATTCCCATATCAATTACATCATGTAGGAGATAGTGCCTGCAGCTCATAAGAGGATTGTGTGGATGAGTTGTGCCCATATCATCCTGATCTTGGTTTCAGCGGGGCACATGGTAGGGACATGATGCTGCGTGCTAGGAGGGAAGGGCCGAATCAAAAGGAGAATGGAAACGACTACATTATTGGGCAGTGTATAGGGGTTACCCAAGTGATCCATCCCTTCAATCCCAACTAACAACCAGCAAGTTCGTTGGTCTTGGGGTCCTGTGTTTCTGAATGCTGGCGCTTGAAATGCGAACACATGAGCTGCCTGAGGTGCGCAGCTGCGTCATGAGTTTATTGTTCTGCTAAATTTCCGTGAGGGAGTCTTATGCTCCCTATCTTAGTAGTCCAGTAGGTAACTTTTGAACCTTTTTAGGGATACTATTTTGCTATAATCCCTATATAAACCCAAAAGGTTAACCTTTATTTTCCTAGGATACTGGACGGGTAAGTTATCTTGTTCTAGGTATACACCTGCAAACTCTCGGTTAAAATGCAGACTGCAAGAAGGAAGCAGGATTAGTTTGAAGACTAAGTGAGCTACAGTCTAAACTCCTTCTAGTGGGTTATATGAGGGATGGTACAGGGAGTATTATGGGGGTTATTAAGGAGGATGCTAGGAGTTTAGACTATAGCTCACATGAGGACGGAACTGCGGAAAAACATTGGATCCAGGTTCTGGGCCAGGCTCCAAAATTTCAGAATTGAAGGGAAAAGAAAACGGAAACTACTACAGGGTTTGGGATTATATAGGGATAATGGAAAAGAAAATGGAAACTACAGGGATTATAGGGGTTATATAGGGATTATAGGGTATTCTATACTAGGTTATGTTGGGGTTATATAGGGATAATGGAAAAGAAAATGGAAACTATTATATAGTATATCAGGGTTATATAGGGATAATGGAAAAGAAAATGGAAACTACTATAGGGTTTGGGTTTAGGGCTTTAAGCTCCGTATCATCGAGGTACGCGACCTCTGTGAGGCCATATTGCGGTCACTATTCGTAGGTGGCGGAACAGAAGTGCAAGCTAATTCCCTAAAAAGCAAAGCTTCTAAGCGCACCTTAGAACCAAAACCCTTGTTCAACGGCAAATCGCTGTACAGTTATACAACCACCAGAATCACACATCCATTTTTCCTAGCCCTTCGCCCAGTTTTGACAGACATCTTGTAAACCCTAAACCCTAAACCCTATAGTAGTTTCCATTTTCTTTTCCATTATCCCTACATAATCGTGATATACTATATAGTAGTTTCCATTTTCTTTTCCATTATCCCTGTATAACCCCAACATAACCCTAGTATAGAATACCCTATAATCCCTAGATAACCTCTATAATCCCTGTAGTTTCCATTTTCTTTTCCATTATCCCTATATAACCCCCCTAAACCCTAAACCCTAAACCCTGAACCCAAACATGTTTATCAACACCCTGAAGGTGCTCAAGTGTCTAGGGCCGAGGCTTGAGGGATTCAGGCTTACCTCAAACCCCTAAAACCTTAAACCTTAGGTGGACCCCCCAGTAGTGGCTATAAGGGAGAATAGGGATTATATTAGGGTCCTCCTATATTCTTATTATACCACTATTACGGGGTGGGGGGTCCTCCTCACCTAAACCCCTCAAGTCATGAACCCCAAACCTGTTTCATTTTCTGCTTTCTTTTCCCTTTCGTTCGTCGTTCCTGAGCAATTCAATGTTGATGTTTGAGGACAAGCCTCCATTTCTCAAAGTGTAAAATCTAAACCCTAGCCCCTAAATCCTAAACCCAAGCCCAATATGCCAAAGTGCGCCAGTTGCTGCGGCTGATGGCTGGGTCCGACAACCCGAACATCACCGAGAAGGAAATGCTGAAGCATGCGAATGGTGATGGTTTAGGGGTTTCAGGTTTAGGGCTTAGGGTGCAGGGTTTAGTGTTTAGAAGGAAACGGTGAGGTATGTGATGGCTTGATTTCGTGTTTCGAAGGAGATGTTGAAGTACGTGATGCCTTTGCTTTTCCTGAACGCGGCCTCTCTCATGCCCACGAAGAAAGGCATCCCAGCTTTGTGTCTGATTTCAGGGCCTACATATCTCAAAAGTAGCACGACCCTGGTTGTAACGGCCATTCCCCCAAATAAGGATAACGGTTTTGCGATACACAGGCTTGTCAGAAAAATGTTGTTGCTAGTTGCGAGTTGTTATTTGGGCTCATCCACAATGATTCGTTTTCGAGTTTAGGGTTCATTTCTAGAGTTTCTACATGAGACCCAGAACATCACCGAGTGAGAAGGCGGTTTTTATGCAAGAGGCATGGCTAGTACACACACATATATGTATATAGATATGCACATGCACACAAAGATAGCCTTTTCTGTATACATATCATACATACATATATATATGTACACACGGGTATGTGTGCGTATGTATGTATGTATGTATGTATGTATGTAGGTAGGTAGGTAGGTAGGTCTGTAGGTCTGTAGGTATGTACGTATGTAGGCATGTAGGTATGTAGGTATGTGGGTATCTGGGTATGCAGGTATGTGGGTATGTGGGTATCGGGATATGTGGGTATGTAGGTATGTAGGTATGTAGGTTTGTATGTATATCCCTCTATAGCCCATGTCGACTCATACCGCGTGATGAGGCGGCCCTTCACAAGTACATTAATTTCCTCCGCCTTATAATGAATTCCTTCACCCGCTAGTGCTTCAATCTTCTCAGCCTAGTAAACCCTCAACCCTAAACCCTGAACCTTAAAACCTAAACCCTAGGGCGAGTCGGGTTCAGGGTCAAGGGCGGGTTGATATTTTCAAAATGCAACAGCGCTAATTTGAAGGATCCACGTAGCAAGGCGTGCCAGCATGAGACGCTGAACACTTTCAACCCTGAACCTGAAAACTTTAAACCCTGAACTCTAAAACTCCAGGCCCCAAACCGTAAGCCCCATCCAGGTATTCATGCCTTCGACGAGAATTTTGTTCGATGGTACTACCGGCTGTTAAAGCTTGAGTTTAGCCTGTGCTTTGAGTCTCCGCGACCCTTGTCTGCACAACTGCACAACGCAGTGAAGGCTGTTGGGTTTGGGCTGTAGGCTTGAGCGGGAAGTTTAGAGTTCACGGTATATTTCTTTGGCGTGTGTGTGTGTGTGTGTGTGTGTGTTTTTTTAAATTTAACTTTTGGGTACACGGTTTGCAGAGTTTAAGGTCCTTCCTAAGGTGTCTAGGGTTAACTTCTGTTACATCATTGGCCCTGTTTGGAAAGGCTTGCTACGTGGAACACGCTCTCTGCCAAATGTCGAGCTTTCCACCTCTGTTGTTGTTGCTTGGGGTTTGGGAGTTGAGGCTTTTGGTATGTGGCATTGACTACTGTTAGACGACAGCTACTGCCATGATATTACGATGAGCATCTTTACTTATTAGTACCACTACCACTTCTCTTACTTCTGCTATTTTGCCACCACCACTACCTTAGACCCCAAACCCAAAGCCCTAAACCCTAAACCCTAAACCCTGAACCCTAAGGCCTAAACCCTCAACCCTGAACCCTCATAAAGAAGAAAAACAAACCAAGTCTTCTTGTGGTGAAGCGTAAGATGCCAAGGATTTAAACTCAAATCCCCGAGCGGTCGGGAGCCTCGACAGATGCAGGGTTCAGGGTTTATTGGGGTTAGGGTTTAGGGTTTGGGGTTTATTAGGGTTATATTGGGGTTGTATAGGGTAAGTTAGGGTTTAGGGCTGAGTAATGTTTAGGATATGTATTGGGGTTGTATTGGGATATTGGAGAATACAATGGAAACTTCTAAAATAGGGTATTTATTATGTTTATGGTTCAGGGTTTAGGGTTTTAGCGTTCAAGTTTCTAGGGTTTAGGGTTTTAGCGTTCAGTTTTTTTAGGGTTTAGGGTGTTAGCGTTCACGTTTTAAGGTTTAGGGCTTTGGGTTCTTTACGGCTCAGGTTTTTAGGGTTTGAGGTTTTGAGGGTTTAGGGTTTCCAGGGTAGGATTTAGGGCGAAGATCTACGTAAAGGGTTTAGGTGTTTCAGTCTGGGATTAGGAGGATCTAGACTTCTGGGTGTAGATAGAATATGGCTTTGGGTATATTATAATAAGATCCCCACATACCCCATATTCTATCTACTTAAGGGGGACTATAGGACTTGAGGTTTGGGGTTCTTGAACTTAGGTCTTAGGATTCTGGATTTAGAGTTTAGGGCTCAAAGTTTTTCCTTCCTCTGCGCTTCTTGCCACAACAGCAAGAACTGCAAAAACACGGTGTTCGTGTTTTTCCTTACGCGTGCCCACTGGAACCTCAAGGAGTACAATGCTTTGCAGTTTGGTGGGACCATTGATCTCGTCCAAGACATCGATCTGTTCCGGCGTGCCGTAGGGGCACCGGAGATGTCGATCCTTGGGTTTTCCTACGGCAGCCCGCTTGCATTTTCGGGCCTCAGCTGGCAGTTTGTCAGGATGTTATTGCTATGGATCCTTGTAGAAAGGCCGGTGCTGTTTTCAGTTAGGGAGGTGACCCTACCCATCAGACACGTCCAACTAACCGAAGGGTTCCTATGTTGCCAGGAACAAGAGAGAAATGACTGTCAGAGTTGAAGCTTGCTGACAAATGAAGCCCGTGATCAGTCGAACTCAGGTACGGCAGTTGCAGGGGTCTATGGATCGACGTTTCCGCAATTCAGCAAGCGGCTGATCCTGAACGGGGTGCCTCTGCCGCTACATTTGTTTGGCACATCTCCCATCGTATGGGTTGTGAAGGATGGTGTGTTGTCCTGATGTTGAGAAACTCCGAAAGTAAATTTCAGGTTGGCCAAAGCCAACCTCAGGGGAGGGCACATGGCCATACCCTTGTGCCCCCGACTTGTTCAGGTTCTGCTCGTCAACGAAGACGATAGGGCACCTGAATGGCCAGTAAGATCCTGTCATGATAGACACAGCCCGGTGCGTGTGTGACATATCAAGTTTGTTGTCGTTAAAAGACAAGAATACAGTGTGGAAGGTTCGAGCAAAATACTTTGGTCCCCATAGCATACGCATGAGGCTCTATTAGCGTAATGTGAATTTCATCTGGCATTTGGGCATGCGGTGTATCGACTCCAGAAGCATTGTTCAATGTAGACACGCCCTGTGAGTTTGACGGTGCACAACTTTTCTGTATACCCCTAATCCTGAACCCTAATCCCCAAGACCCGAATCTTCCCCATAATAATGCTCCCCTATGTAATCCCTTATATAGCCCCCTTTGAGGAGTTTAGACTATAGCTCACATTCCCCTACAACCCAGACAAGCTAGGTCGTGGACCCATTTCCAGATGTGAAGCGGCGGGGTCTGTCCGATGCCACAGGCTTCTTGCCATTTTTAAGATGCAGAATTTTGGAGTTGTAGGGTTCAGGGCTGAAGGCTGTACGGTCGAAGGTTTGGGGCTTGCGGTTTTATTTGTTTGGAACGACGACTATTACTATTGCTGCTACTACTACTACTACTACCACTACTACTACTACTACTAGTAGTACTACTACTATTAGTACTACTGCTAGTATCACTACTACTATGATGTCGTACCACCACTGCCGCCGCGGCTGCCGCTACCACCACCCCCACCGGCAATCCCGCCGCCACCTGCAAGTTATGTGCGGAGGATACACGGCGACATGGAATGGCATCACCACAGCCTGTGACCTGACGGTGGAGCAGAACCTGAAGGAACACTTTCAAGTTGAATTGCATCGGGGTCACAGGGGAAAATATAGGGGACAGTATATGTATTTCAAAGTAGTGTATCCGCTTCAACCATGGGAGCCATACATGGGAATGGAAAAGAACATAGAAATTAGTATATACTGTAGTTCAGCGCTCAGGGATTACGGCTAGAATAATGCAGATCAAATGGAGAAGAACACGGAAAATGAAATCGAATCTGGCAGTTATAGAGGGGCTTGGAGGATTATCTTACCGGAAGTTTAGGCTGAAGGGTTTATGGGTTCAAGGGTTTACAGTAGGGTTTCAGGTTTCAAGGGGGCGATGGTCGAGAGGTGCGTTGGGGATTCTTTTCGGAGACCTCGTCTCCCTCCCACCCCAAACCTCAACCCGTCTCCCCCTCCTTCTTTGAAGCCCTACCCAGCCCTTAATCCCGTTGATTGACGAAGTTCTGCGTGACCGCCTACCCCTGTGGAATTCTGGTGGCGTAGTGCACCTAGGCCCATGCAGGATTTGGACCATCAACCCCTCATCGTAAAGCCTTAAATCCTGGCCACACGAACCACAAAAGACCAATCTAATCCTTAAGCTCCCCAAGCCCTAAACCCTAAACGCAAAGCCTGCAGTCAGGAAGACGCCTTGTGTCCAGCTGCCCCTCGCTCGGAATCAAAGGCCCTTGCTCTGATCCCGGGCAGGCATCAAGAGTGTCTTATGAAAGGAAGGGCTTAGGCTTTAGGGTTTAGGGGCGTAGGAAGGGTGTAGGGCTAAGGGTTGAAGGGTTTAGGGCCAAGGGCTTTGAGTTTAGGGTTCAGGGTTAGAATGCCCCAAAATTGAGGCCCTCCCTTGTTCCTATTGCGAGGAGCTCCGATAGGGACCCTAGCTTTTCGAAACCACCGTATGCATGATGGTCACTGGCAGTCGGGCTAGTCTTTGATGTGTATTCGCCATACACATTGCCGTAAAACTATAAAAAGAATAGCGACTGTTGCTGCTACTGTTTGCGCGGCGATCGTCTTTTGTCTACTTGTTCACTTCTTGGCCATCACAGTGATTGCCACATTTTCCCCATGACTGTCATCTTCCCTCCCTAAACCCAAACCAACCAAACCCAAAACTTTGAACCCTGAACCTTAAACCCAAGAACCCTAAAACCCGAAGCCCTAAGCTCTATCCAAAAACAGGATTCGGGACGCAAGCAAGCCCACTACGGCCGCCTTGATCATGGGGCTGGTGGACCTTGCCTGCCAGAAAGGCGACTTGCGCCCGCCTCGTCTTCTTCTTTCTCCTACCACCACTACCGGGTTTAGGGTTTAGGGTTTAGGTATTCGTCCTACTGCGATTGTTCTTCACTACCCCTTCTCCTGCTGTCACTGTCACAGGTGGGCCTCAAGTTAGCGTGGCCATGGCCTGCATTGAGAAGTATTCGGGGGGCAAAGAGGTGGATGGTTGCCCCGACAACCTGACAGATGACATGTTGATGGATTTGCCACAGCTTCGCAGGTCAAAAGATGCTTGCTGATGGTTTGTGAGGGTGAAGGCATGGAATATAAGGAGTTTCGTTGGGAATTATGGATGGACTAGTGACTGGTATAGGGATCCATCCCTTCCGAAGCCTGAAGCCCTTTTTTTTAGACTAAATTCTTTTGTCGTCTCCATTTTCTTTTCCATTCCCCAGCAACCACCAGCAAGGGTACGTCGCTGCTGTCCCTGGCGAGTTCGACCTCCGTGTCGCGTTCGAAGGCGAGCGACTTGTCCGATTGGTTTGGTCTGAGCATGCAGGCCATGGTTATGGGCACGGACACCGCTGGCAGACTCACCGAAGAGGCTTACATCGAGGCCTGGAAGGGCTGGAAGGCAGAGTACCCCTATGGCACCCTGTGGGCCTTGAAATGGGCTGCTGCAACAAGCACCTGGCCGACAAATGCGCGGCCCGTGCCTCCTGTGGGGCATGCAGATGTCAGGCCTGTCATTGTGGGAAACCTCCATGATTACAACACAGCACCTTGCGTCGTATCGGAAACAGTTTGGGAGTAAGGGTTTAGGGTTGAAGGTTGAGTTTAGGCATTGAAGTTAAGTTTAGAGGGTTTGGTGTATAGTATTTGGGGCCTGAAGTATTACGCACTTTCAAATGATGCCGTAAGCCATATTGCTTCAATAACCCTCCTGAAGCCCTTGATCCTAACTGAGACCCTGAACCCATCACCTAAACCCTAAGCCACATTCGCCGCTCTAAGGTCTGAATTGTGAAGCCTCCAATTTTGATAGAGCTGCGCTTAGATAGGAAGGCATTCACTTGCAACCCAATATAATATCCTAGAGCCACTTCTATTTCCTCCTCCCGCACGCCTTAAATCTTAAACCTGCAACCCCCGAAGCCCAGATACATACAACGTGTATAGGGCAAAAAACAAGCTTAACTCGAACAAAACCCGAGGTCAAAATTCGCTCAAGCCGCCGGTATACAACTTGCATAAACCCTTCAACCGTAAACCCTGAGCAGCTACGAGGCTTACCTCAACGCGCAGCTGACCAAGACGGCTTTCCCGAATGGAGCCCTGGTTACCTGGCAGGCTCCCATGCCTTGAACTGGGGGTGCCTTTTTTGGGGGTCCTGTCCTTATAATTGGGATTATCGTATATTGGGGTCTATAAGCCCTTCTAGGGTTTAGGGTTTGGGGCGAGAATACTGGAGAATCAAATGGAAAGAAAATGAAAGAAATTTGAAGATGAAACGGAAACTGAGGGGTCTGCGTTTAGGGTTTAGGGTTGAAGTATCGGGCTTAGGGTTTGCGACATAGACCCCGTGTCCTAGACCCTGAACTCTAGCCTCCAGCTGTTACACCCTCAACCCTGAGCCCCCAAACCTAAATTGTAACCTTTAACCTAAAACCTGAACTTTAAACCCTAAACATTGAAAACCCTAAACCTCAAGAAACCACACCGCGTGACCTAAGCCTTATACCGGGTCTCCTGACAGGGCTACGGGCACTGCTTCAGTGCTTTCAAAGGAGTGGGAAAGACGCTCTACAACAAGTATCAGGAGGCCATGTGTTGGGAGTAGGGTTGAGTTTCAGTAAGCTAGCCTTCGGCCTTTTGGTGGCAGGGTTTAGGGCCGACTTTGAGAAGGGCTTTAGTAACTCCCAACTCCTTTTCGAAACTTGAAACCAGATGCTAGACCCCAGAAATCATAAGTCGCCCTGGGCCGATTAAATCCCCAAACACTAAACAATCACCCCTAACCCTCAAGACCCTGAACTGTAGACCTTTTACCATGAACCCTTCGTCTAGTGTCTTGGCAACTCGACAGACTTCATGCTTGAGGTGTAGGTTTTGCCCCGCCTCATGTCTTAGATAGGGCGCTTAAATCCTTACCGCAGCTATGGTCCTAGGTTCCTTGCGTAATTCTGGTATAGGTTGCCTCAACTGGACTTGAAACTGATTTTGGAAATTGAGACCCACACAAAATTTGAGAAATGTCAACGTGCTGGAAATCTGCTCTTGTCTACCTACCTAGATGGTCCCCTACATCTCCGAAATAAACGTGCAGGGATCGTGCATAACGCGAGCCCCCACTTACCGAAATCTCATGCCGCACGCCTACATACGGAAAAGGAGATTGTATGAGAGGGCCTAAACCTTTAAATCCAGCTGCAACAGTTCCTACTGGGCATGGTTAAGTGCCATGGCTCTTATGCCCCAATCTCTAAACCCTAAACGGGAATCCCAAAATCCTGCTTCCTGCATTCAAAATCATGGCTCCAGCCGCAAAGAGCAATCCTTCATGACTCTAGGAAGAGTACCTGAGACCCAACCCTCAACCTTGATGCCAAGGCCTCACGAGCCCAGCCCCAAGTCCGAAGCCCTAATTGAATTAACCCTACGTCCTATGAATCCAGTAAACCCTCAAGCTCTAAATAAACCCTACCGAAACACAAAACCCTAAATCCTGAACCCTAAACCCTATGCACCTTAAACCTCAACCCCTAGAACCAGGCCAAAGCCCATAAGCGTCTGCTGACGTATGACGACACTCTTGCAGGTTATGCTTGCGGCTTTGACTCAGAAATGCTTAGAGTTTAGGGCTTAGGATCGAGTTTATTTGGTACCCTCTTGGAGGTCCCATAAAAAGGATGACAGGGTGTTGGGTCTATGTTGGGAATCTCTAATGAACGGAAGTTACCCTATAGATGCTCTCAGCGGACCTCTCTATAGTGACTCTAAACACAAAACCCTAAACCCTAAACCCAGAAAAGGAGTGTGAAGGGGTGTTAAAACCCTAAACCCTAAACCGTAAACCCTTAAACCCTAAACCGTTTATTTTAGCGACTACTGTAGGGATCCATTGCTTTATTCCCTACACGTCGTTGACTCGGGAATCGCGTGGGGTGTTTTGGCTTTCAGAGATGGAGGTTGAGAGCTGGGGATGAGATTCTAGGGTTTTAGGGGTTTAGGGTTTAGGGGTTTAGGCTTCAGGGTTTTAGGGTTGAAGGGCCTAGAGTTCAGGATTCAGGGTTTGGGATGGAGGCTAGAGGTTAGGATGGGATGGGATTTGAGGTTTAGGGTTTAGGGCTTAGGGTTTAAGGGTCTAGGGGTTAAGGGTCCAGGGTTTGGGATGTAGGCTAGAGGTTAGGATGGAGGCCGGGTTGGTATAGAGGCTACCCGGAAATCATTGCAGGCCTAGAAGCTTTCGTATGGGCTCATTTGAGCTATAGTAGGGGGTATATAGGGGATGATATAAGGGACTGCGAGAGAGTTATGAAGGGGGATACTAGGAGTGTGGACTATAGCTCAGATAGCTATTCTGGGGGTGAACAGAATTGACTTTCTGGTTCGGAAGCAGTCTTCTCTGTTCTCTGGACAGTTCTGAAGCATTGAGGCAACCTAGGCAGTCAAGGGGTGGTGGGTTTGTCATGAACATCCTAGGGTTTAGGGGTAGGGTATTGCCTCAGGTTTGCTGCAAATCCAACGGCCCAATCCAAACTATGCTTCTCCTGCATGGAAAGGTTGCTAACTTTTTTTGGACGTTTAGCCTTGCAGCTTCATGGAATAGACGTCATGGAGAGCACTTAGAACACTAAACCTTAAACCCTAAATGCTTCAAGGATCAGAAGTCCGGCTCTGAGATTTCCCAGACAAGCTTTTAAGGGGCTACTAGGTGATGGCATACCTAGATACTCAGGCCTCCGGGCCCAAACCTTCATACACCTCAAGCCCGAAACCCTGAGTCCTAAACCTTAAACCCCAAGCTCTACGCCCGAAACTCGAAGCCCAAAACCTTTAACTCTACACCCTAAATCCTTGCATCCATGGGTTTTGTATAAGGCGCATCTGTCATCCTGCGGTACCTTGACTCGGGCGACCTTCCACTTGATGGCCATACCTGCCTGGAGCTATGCCAGCAAGAAGTGTAAGAGCTAGGGCTTAGGGTTTGGGGCGTAGGGATGGGGGGTTTTGGGGGGTTTGGGGGTTTGGGCATTTGGGGCGTAGGGTGTAGGGCTTAGGATTTGCGGGTTCAGGGGCTGAGGATTTAGGGGCTTAAGGCTTGGGGGTTTTTGCTTAGGGCTCGGGCTTCCGGGCTTGAAGCAGCAGGATATAGGTTGTGTTTCCGGTAATCCGAGAGGACGATTAGTGTAATTGGAGTTGTGATATGAGAGTTTAGGCTTCAGTGCCTAGGACAGATACAAGCAATGCATCACCCAAACCTTGAAAACCAAGGTGTATGAAAACCCAAGTTACTACCAAGTGATATCTTACACTCCCCTGTAAGTACCGTTTTAGATAATCCTAGTGTTTCGTATTATGGCTACCTAGCTTAAAGCTCAAGACCCTTGCCCCATATCCATATCTGTGTATCTCCTCAGTACATTTCCCAGAATGCCTTCCCCTAATGTGATGCCCAAATATACTTCTCCTTGTATTCTAGGAACTCCCAAGATGTAGAAACTTCCAAAACCTCCCAGCTCATCAGCTCAAACCTTTGACCCAACACTACACTTTCAAAGCTTGTGAGAAACACCTAAACCAAATCTTAAGCCCCTAAACCGTAACCCCTAGACCTTAACCCTTAACCCTTAAACCTTAAACCCTAAACCTTCACTCCCAAAACTTACCCCCAAAACTTAAACCCCAAACCTTAACCGCTACAAACCTAAACCCCCAAACCTTAACCCGAAACCCTTAAACCCCGAACTTTACCCCCCAAACCTGAACCCCTACAAACCTAAACCCCAAACCTTAACCGCTAACCCTTAACCCTAAACCTGAACCCTTAAACCTTAACACCTAAATATTAACCCCTAAACTTTAAACCCTACAAACATAAACCCCCGAACCTTAACCCCTAACCCTCAAACCCCAAACCTTATGCCCTAAACCCGAACCCCTACAAACCTAAACCCCAGACCTTAAGCCCTAAATCTTAACCCTAAACCTTAACCCTTAAACCTTAACCCTTGAAGCTTAACCCTTAAACCCTTAAACCTTAAACCCTAAACCTTAACCCCTAAAGCTCAACCCCCCCAAAATTAACCCCTAACCCTTAAACCCCAAACCTTAACCCGTAAACCTTAACCCCTAAAGCTTAACCCCCAAACCTTAACCCCTACAAACCTAAACCCCCAAACCTTAACCCCTAACCCTGAAACCCCAAACCTTAACCCTTAAACCTTAACCCCTAAAACTTAACCCCTAAACCTCAAACCCTAGACCTTAACCCCTAAACCTTCAACCATCAACCTTAACCATAAGCCTTAATCCCTAAACCTTAGCCTCTAAGCCTGAAACCCTAAACCTGAAACCCTGAACCTGCTCATCCCCTGAATCCTTAGGTGCCTAAGTTGATCGACACGGGCAAGGGGCAGGTGATGAAAGGCCTTGCAGGGGTTGAGGGTGTAGCCTGGGATTTAAACCCAAGTTCTGGTTCCAGCGCCTTGAACCCTAAGTTCTGAACTTTGCACAAGCAAGGAGTTTATTCCGGATTTCAAGCATAAGTGAAGAACCTGATATTTGCTAAGGACTATAAGGGGTTTTAGGCACAAAGAGGGGGCCACTTGTTAAGGATTACTCAGAGTTTTAAGCGCACAGAGGGACCGTATTGTACTTGCGAAGGGTTGTTGAGAGTTTAAGAGGCGTAAATACGGGAACACATAATTCTTGCTCAGGACTTTTGAGGTTTAGGGTTTTAGACGGTTCGCGTTCTTAATGATAGCAAAGATCGTTGTGGGCCCTGCATGTTAGTTCTTTTCTCGTTGGCCACGTCAGGAATCCATAGAAGCAAGAAGCACTGCAGCCAGACACTGAGTACCCAGGCCTTTTTTCTTCAGACCCCCTAAGATCCAAGCCCCAAGCCCAAATCCCTAGACCCAAAATTCGAATGGAAACCCTGATTCTCAACATTTGATGCATGTAAGAAGGACTAAACCTTTAGGCCTAAGGCCTTCAGACTAAGTTACACAGGGTTGTGCGCCATCCCCCTATACCCTGACATTCGGCTTCTTGTCAAACCCTGCGATGCAGTACTCTTTTCTTTGTACACCATGGTCCGGGCTCAGGGTTAAGGACCCTAAGCTATG